GGCAGTACAATAATAATCCAAGAACATCACACCCCTGAATTTCAGCCACTTCTCTCTGAAGGATCTTTTTCCTTTTTTAAACGTATGAGCTATTTTTTGGTTTCCACGTGTTCCTCTTTCTGACTTGTCACATTGCTTTCTATAAGGCATAAATTGGAGCCTTCATATCCAAAATCTGGTTTTATTCCAGAAGATTCACAATAAGCTCCCTGTGAGACTTGGGAAGAAAGGGGATGACTTCAGGAACTTGGATTTCAAGATCCACCAAAGCAAAGACTTGCAGTCCACTCTGGTAATTAAATTCTTCCACTCACTCATTCTGTTAGCATTCACTGAGCATATACTACGTGCCAGGCAGTATTCTGAGCACTGTGATGTAGGAGTTACTTGGCTCATTGAAGGGACAATATATAACATGCTATTCAAACTTGGACATCATCCCTGGACCCCACAGTCTTACACACAACTATCTACCAAACAGCTCTCCTTAGGTGTCCAACTGAACCTATAACAGCTCCTTCATCACCTCAGTAAAGGACTCATCCAGTTGCTCAAGCAAAAATATGGAGTTGTCCTTGATTCCTATTGACTAATCTAATGCTACCATCGACTATATCCAGAATTTAGCAACTTCTTTCATCTCAACCACTCTTCCAGACCACCAGCATCTTTCACCTGCAGCGCCTCCTGGCCAATCTCCCCATGTTCAACCTTCCCCCAACACACACATTCGAGTCTATTCTAAGCTCTGAGGCTAAAATAAATGATCACTGTCAAACATAAATCAGACAAGGGCATTCTGGGCTTAAAATTCTCCAGTGCGTTCCCAGCCAACTCAAAGCAAAAGCTCAAGTCCACCACAGCAAGACCCTGTGTTACCTGCCTCCTTTCTACTTTTTGGGTCTCATCTTCTGCCATGCTTACCCTGTCTCATTCACTTCCTCCTCCGTGAGGCTTCTTACTGCTCCCAGAATGCACCAGTGCTCTGTTGCCTAAAGGCCTTTGCACTTACCGTTCTTCCTACCTAGAAAGATCTTTCCCAAGTTATCCACCTGGCTCACTCTTTCAATTCCTTCATGTCTCCCCCACCTCCTTACAAACCCAACCCTTACCTTGTCCTCCCCTCCCACACTCACTCAACCTCCTTTACCTGCTTAATGTTCCTTAATCACTTGATATATTGTATACTTACTTATTTATATATAATTTGTCTCCCCAGCTAGAATGCATGCTTCATGAAATGGGATCTTGGTGGAGGGGGGAATGGTTGGTTGGCTGGTTGGCTGGTTGGCTGGGTGACTGGTTGGCTGGTCAGTTCATTGGCTAGTTGGTTGGATGGTCAGTTGGTTGGTTGTGTTTTGTTGCCCTGTGTCTCCTATCTATAAAATGCCTGGCAAATACAGAACAATCAAAAAATATGAGGTGAATGAATGGCTTTCTAAATATACATATGTCTATAGATAGGCAGCCAAGGAACCAGAGCAAAAAGTCACAAGGACAACTATAGGTGTCACCCTCACAAGTAGAGTCCACAAAAAAAGCAACTGAGGCAAGGAAACTTGAACATCAAGGTCCTTATTATAGATGTAAAAAAAATCCAAAATTTTCCACTCTCTATATTCATGCTTTTTACAATGTGATTATACAGCTCCTTCCAGCAAAAGGTAGACTCTATGTTTGTGCCCTTCCCCTCTGGACTGCCTGTGTCTTACTTTTGTGGATAAACAGGATGAAGTGCTGGTAAGCTCTGTGAGAAGCTTGGGCCCCAAGAGACCATGCAAACTCCCCCTTTCTCCTGGCCCTCTGTCGCTACCATGAGAACATGTCTGGTCAACCTTATGGAGGATGGGGGACCCCATGGATCACAGCCAAGACCTTCCAGCTCACGTCATCATAGAGAAGCCAGCTTCATCTCTCCATCAGCAGACCCAAACCACATGAAGCAAGCATAGCTGAGATCAACCAAGCACAGCTGTCCAGCCACCCCACTGGCAGGGGAAAGAGCCACTCCACAGGCATGGGAGAAATTAAGAAATTAATAAATGGTTGTAGTTTTAAGCCACTAAGCTTAGGGGTGGCTTCTCCTATCGTTGCATTGACAAGATCAGCCTTAATGTGTATGAGGCTGCTAATCTGCTTTGCTCTGAATAAATGTACACCAGGGACGCTCCTCCTTGTGGTTCGATTCTCATGGCATGGATCTGTGGGAATAAGACACATTAGCCACGCCACGCAGTGTCTCAGCCATTGCAAAGCAACCAACTGGGCTACAGAGACCAGAGACTGGACCAGGTTTCAAAAACAGCAGCACCAGAGCTTGGGTGTGGGTGATGCACAGAAGTAAATGTTGCTCTCTGAGGTGACTTGGGGACACCCAGCTAAACACCCTGACCTGGCCCCAGCTCAGCCACATCCTGTTTCACAGACACTTCGACAAGGTTCTCAGGCATCCAGCCCGACTCTGCCCCTGGAACACACTGCAGTAGCCCTACTGCACTGAGGACAGCTGTGTGTCAGTGCAGGGCTTCCCCTGGAGAGCTGAAGTCACAAAGGATGGAGCAGCAAATGGCAATGTTTATAGTAAGCCTATAAGATGGAAGCCCCATATAAACTCGCCGTGTGGCACTATGTAAATGCCTTCCACAGTACCTGGACTGTCAATCAATTTCCAGATGATCCCAACACCTTCTCATAACCATGGAAACTCTTCTCATTCTCCAAGACAAAAGCATAACAACTAGCAAGGACAACAGCAACTGGACTGTTCACTAAAGATGACCCTTTCTTTCACTGGGGAAAGGAAAGGACCCACATGTACGCTCCTCGGTCTGGATGAAGCAGATCTGACTGTGTCTCTCCATCTCCCTAGTTCCTGCTGCCTTTCAGAGAACTGTGCCTGCTGTGTGCTGGCTAGACTGTACCTGGAGTGTCTATAGGTACCTTTCCTAACTACTAACCACTCTTCCTCTAAATAGGGGGCTTCAGGGCTGGGGATTTAGCTCAGCGGCACAGCGCCTGCCCAGCAAGTGCAAGGTCGTGAGTTCGATTCCCGGTACCAGAAAAAAATAAAAATAAAAACAAAAATAAGATAAATAGGGGGCTTCAGATCTCATCCAATTCCTTAAATGACAACTCAGTACATATATCTTAGTGACAAACATAAATCATAACAGGGACTACCTCAGTGACCTTACTGTGCCGTCCCTCTGAATGCCACGCTTACCAGCGTCCCCCGCCTTACTCACTGCAGCCTCCTTGGCCTCCTTTCTGGCTCTCTTATAAGCAGACCCTTCTCCTACCTCGGGATTAGCAGGTGCCCAGAATGCCTGGCTTCCTCCCTCATTTTCTCCAATCTGGTCAAATATCACTTGCCGGCACCCCACCCTAACCAAGCTGCATAAAAATAAATAAATAGCAAGCCCCACTCCTGCCTGGTAGCGCTCCCCATGCCTCTTACGCTAGTTTATTTTTCTGCATTATAATGTCTCTTTAGTAACATGCTATGTGTGCGCTTAGTAGTATGTCCATCATTACACACACACACACACACACACACACACACATTAACTTAAGCTCATTAAGGGTAGGGGCTTTATTTGGTTCAATTCTGTATTCCTTCCTCATACAGTAGTTCCTAACGCATGCTAGGGATGCCAATGAGCACCCACTTTGTACCGGGCAATGTACATATGACAATGATCCAGCAATGGACGAATACTTTAAGTATCTGTTATGTAATGATCAGAACAGCCCTACTGTTCTCACCACTGTACAGATCAGATGACCTGCCCCATCCAAGCCCCAAGCCTGTGCTCCCTGTGGTGCCCCAGGCTGCCCTCCAAGCACCCAGATGCTGGTTTAGGTTACATGGGGCACAAACATGCATCTCTGGCAAATGTGCAGATCCCAGAGCTCTTCATTCTATCATTTTGCATTACCTGCCACAGCTTTTGTCCAGGAAGTTACACCCTTGAGACTGGATTTTCTTCTCCCAGAGCAGATGGGTAGTAACAGCTTTAGCTTTCCCTTATCCCTCCCACTTGGGAAAATCTTAGTTCCGAATTTTCTTTTTGAACTGGGCTGGGACAAGGATAGGTCAAGGACCTGGGCTGAGGCAGGAGGATCACCAGGAGTTCAAGGCCAACCTGGGCCACATAGTGAGTTCAAGACCAGCCTAAACTACAGAGCAAGACCCTGTTTCTCTCTCTCTCTCTGTCTGTCTCTCTCTGTCTGTCTCTCATCTCTCTCTCTCTCTCTCTCTCTCTCTCTCTCTCTATATATATATATATATATATATATATATATACACATATATATCTCAAATGAAAAAGCCAACCTGCAATGGGCGTGCCCTTTCTTTAGTGCCAGCCGGTCTCTGCTGGGGTCTGGTCACATACTGAGGAAGCCTGCTTGCTCTACCCTGCCTGGTAAGGGGATGTGGGTCATGCCCAGACCAAGGGACGGAAGAACAACCCAATCCCTGCTGAAATCAGCAGGGGGTTCATTTGTTAAACAGTTCTCTTCTCTTTACAACCACTGCTGCCCTTGCACACCACCGTCTCAGGACATGTCACACTCCCTCACTACAGCTGTTTTCCCCCCAGCAGGTGCGAGCTTGCGGGGAGCCAGGACTTCATCACTGCTGCACCTTCGGGATTAATCCCACCTCTGACACACACTAAGTGCTGCTTGAGAATCTGCTGACTCAGAATGAAGCTCACTGCACCTACCGCATCCACTAGAGCCAACAGGACAAGTCACCTCTCATGGAAAGGGCAGGAAGCCGAAGCACAGAAGGGACGTGCAGACCAGAACAACCCCTGAGCTGGTAACAATGCTTAACTGTCACCCGCACACTCTGAGCGCCACTCCCTGCGCCCCCAGGGCCCCCACATTCAACTTCCAAACAGGCTTAGAAACCGAGCAAGCTTCGCTCAGCGCCCCACCCCGCCTCACCCCGGCTGCTCTTACCGGAGCCCAAGACGCCGACGCTAAGTTACCTTTAAACAGAGCTGGTTTTCAGCTGCGATTTCTGGATCAAGGGTAGCGCTTCCCCGCCCTGCCCTGCCGAGCGCTGGACAGCAGAGAGCTCCCGTCTGTCTGCGGAACAAACAGCCCTGCCTCGCTCCTCCCCGGCTACACGCATTTGCTCGCCCATCCCTGCAAAACAAATCGTGTTCTTTTCCATGCGCTAAAACCCATCTATAAACAAATCCTCTGCGCGACTACGAAACGGCTCCCACGCCCGCGAAGAGCGCCTTCCACACCCAGAAGCACACACGAACCCCAACTCAGAGCCACTAGGTGTCAAGCACGCTTTTAATCTCAAGAACAACCCAACAACAACAAAATCCACCTAACGGGAACGAACTGCGGCGGCTCGGGAAGCTCAGCGGGACGGAGCCGTCAATGTCAGCAGCCTAAGTTGCAGAAGTATTTAGGGCGCTAATAGTTCAAAGGGTTTCACAACCAGCCCTTGGGGAGGCCACTTCCGAGGAGCGCGCTCCCCTTGGCAGCCGGCGAGCGCTTGCTCTTGCGCGCGCTTTCCCGGACTCTGCCGGGTCTTTCGCGCCGCGCACCACAAGCCCCGCTCCCGGCACCAGCGGGTGCGTTTCGGCCGCGGCAGGCGAGCGGCCGGGCCGGGTCTTCGCGCATCGCAGCGCGCGTCGCCGTCCCCTACCTGGGTGGGGGCCCGCGGTGGGTCCGGGGCGCGGGCCGAGAGGCTTCCTCCTCGGCAGAGCAGGCGGCTCCGGCTCTGCGGGTCCCGGCGATCGCCGCGGTGTCACTCACACCTGCAGCGCCGCGCCCACGCCGCCGCCGCGCGCCCAGACGCAGCGCGCCCCCGCCCCACGAGCAGCCCGGGCGGGAGCCTCGCGTCCGCTCTTCGGCAGATCCGGTCCTAACCCGGGCGTGAAAGGTGTGGGCTGCTGACTGCTCTGTGCTTCTAAATCCCCTTCTGGTTCAAGAAAAGATGTTTGGGGTGGCGCGGAGGGAAGCGGAGACAGCGGGGTTCCAAGCTCTCTGGACGTGCAGACCCACCCGTCTGCGAACTTCTGGGTCCTCCAGGTTTAATCGTCACCTCGCGCTGTCCACCCACCCTGCCCAGGACGAGGTGGCGCTGTCGGGGCCTCAAGCCCTTCCGCCTACTCCACACGTGCCGCTGTCGCAGCCGGAGCCCCTACCTCCTGGGGAGGGGGTCCTCTGGTTGTGCCATTCTCTCGGTATCTTAGCAATAGACGCTGGCGATCTGCTCTGCCCTTATCTGCGTGGTCAGTGGGGCGAACAGGAAAACTGGGACCTGGTGTCTTCAACCAAGCTCCACTTCTGTCCCCCTCCTTCCAACGCCCCCGACGCCATTCAGAAAGATTTGGCAAATAAAACTGCCAAGGTTCTCCTACCATTGAAAGCCTCTTTTTGGAGCATAAGATTCGTTTTAAGAGGAAAGGAGGATCAAAGAAATGACCCTGGAAATTCAGGGGCGCAAGCAAAGCCCCTAACACTGCAGGCCTCCTTTCAGGTCTGAACTGCGTTTCTGTCCCAGTACGGCTGAAACTCCTCTTCCCTCTTCCGCATCCAGCGCTTCTGGCCTCCCGGCTTCATGGCTGCATCCCTGAGCCGCTCTCCAGCCCCTGGCTTCCTCCTGGCTCAAGCTTTTCCCCCGACCACTGCCTTGCAAGGGTTTCACCTCCTCAGCCGCCGAGGGTCGCTTCTTTAAGAGTAGGAAGTGTCTGCTCCTGACTTCTTCCTATGCCCTGGCTTCCCCAAGTCCTTAGAAGAGGGTGATCAAAGAACAGACCTCCACGGGGTGCGATGGTGCACTCTGGGTGACTGAGGCAGGAGGCTTCCGAGTTTGAGCTCCACCTGGGCAACTCAGTGACTTAGTAAAACCATTTCTCTAATTTTTTTTTTTAATTTTTTTTGAAAGGGCCGGATGTAGTTCAGTGAGAAGGTCCTCGGTTCAATCCCCAGTACAAAAAAATGAAAAAGAAAAAAAAAAAAAGGCTGACCCTCACATCCTCGCCTCTCCTTCCTCATTTTTTCCCCTTGCCCTCCAGCCACACTGAACTTTGAACTCCTTAAACATGCCTCCCTACCCCATTTCCATCCGGGCCTTTGTACGTGCTACTCCCTCGGCCTAGAATATCCTCTTCCTCTGGCTGTGGTTTCATCTGAGCCGTCCCTTCTTCAAGGAAGTCTTCTCACATCCCTGGAATACTGAGTTCTCCTTGCTCCATGTACCCAGAGCTGTCACTAGTTCCCCTACCACAGCACCCAAAACATTACTAAGGTTAGTTGTCTGCCTTCCTCATCAGACCGGAAGATGTAGGAAAGCATGTTTATTTGCTACATATAGGCAGAACACACAGTACACAAATTCTGCTCAGTGTCTGTTAGCATAGCCATGATCTAGATTGAGATTGTAAACAGGTGCTGGGGGTTTAGCTCAGCGGCACAGAGCCTACCTGGCAAGCTCGAGGTCGTGAGTTTGATTCCCGGTTCCGGAAAAACACACACACACACACACACACACACACACACACACACCGCAAAAAGAAAAAAGAGACTGTAAACGGTTCTGGCATCAAGAGGTTTCTTTATGTCTCTTCCCAGGTAATACCACTCACGGCCCAAGTTCAGTCGCTATGGCCCTTTTCAGCATGGATTTGTATTGCCTATTTTTAAACTCTAGATGGATAGAATCATACCATAGGTATTCTTTTGTGTGTGTGGTTTCTTTTACTCAAAAGAACGTCTGGAAGATCCATCCATATCATTGCAGATATTTTGGTAGGTCACTCCTTTTTATTATTGCAAAGTACTGCATTGCCTGAATGTAACGCAATTTATTTATCCCTTCTCCTGTTGGTGGATGCGTGGGTTGCTTCCTGCTTGCAGCTGATCTGACTAAAGCTGCTGTGAGCATTTGATACATATAGGCACCTTTTTCTCTTGGAAAAGGAATGGCCTCACGGAATAGCTGGGTCATGGGGCAAGTTTTCATTTTAGCTGATATCACAAAACAGCGTTCCAGAGTGGTTTGCCAATTTACAGCCACAATTGCAATATTAGAAAATTCCAGCTATTCTGCCTCTGTGCTATAACTCAGCATTGTCCATCTTTTTAAATTTTAGCCATTCTTGCAGGTGTGTTGTGGGTTTTGATGTAACTTGAATTTGAACCTCCTTGTTAATTAATAGCGGTGAGTTAGATGCGGTGGTGCATACGCTGTTTCTTCAGAGGAGCTCCAGTCTTAGCCTTCACCTTAGATGTCATCTCCTGACTTCCATCCCAGGCCCTTCAGCCTCCCAACACAGACTTGCACGGGACATGGCAGTGAACTCCAGGCCTTTGACTGCATCCTTTGCATCCCCATTGTGCAGATAGGCCTCTTGCACTCTTCCACACCTGCCTCTCTGGCCAGCCATTGTAAGCCAATCTGGTAAATACTTATATATTTGTATATCTTGTGTTTAATCTGTTTCTCTAGTAAGCACTGCCTGATAGAGATTTTGGGATCTGAGCAGCTCCCAGAAGGCTGAGGCAGAAGGGTTGCCACAAGTTCAAGGCCAGCCTGGACTACATGATGAGACCCTGTCTCAAAGATAATAATAATAATGTTAAGCAACTTCTCATATGCATATTGGCCATTGTGACATCCTTTTATGGAGGGTCATTGCAAGTCTTTTGACCAATCTATAAAGTTTTATTTATGTTTTTCTCATTCATCTGTAGGCACTCTATTTTAGATATGAATTCAGAGATAGTAGGTAGATAGTTTTAATATCTTGTTTGGGTCTTATATTTTATTCTCTTAATTTTAATTAACAACTTATCAATTTTTTTCTTTTGTAATTAGAAGACTGATCACAAGATTTTTTTTGTGAGTCCCAGTTAGGAAACCCTCATCTACCACAGGGTTGGGCAGCTATTATCCATTATTTTTTTTTCATTATTTCCTTCTATAATCTTGTTTGCTTTGCCCTGCACTTTGGTTTATCTTCTATTCATGTGTACAATGACATAGAATCAAAGTTCATTTCTTACATGAATAGCCAGATGAAAAACTACTATGGAAACAGCCATTCTTACTGACTAGCATGCCATAGCGCTTTTGTTATAATCAAGTGGCCACCTAGGTCACCATTCCAGATCTACTTCTAGATCTGTTTTAGACCATGTCTAGAGTCGCCACTCTTTCACTGGTCTTATGTGCATGTCCTTGTGTCTACATTGCAGTGTCTTAATTAATTCCCTTTCATTACGAGTCTTGAAATAGGATAGTGTTCATCCACTAAATTTGTTCTCCTTCTAAACTGTCTTATCTCCTTTAAATCCTTAGCTTTTCCACAAAAACTTTAGCATCAACTTCTCAAATTAGCACACACAAACTCTGATGAGATTTGTTAAGAACTGCCTCAAATACGTAGATCAATTTGATGATAATCAACACCTTAGCAATAGTTTTTCAAATCATTTTACTTTGCTTATCTCCTTATTTCTATTGGTCTTTAATTTCTCTCAGAAATATTTTATAGATTTCAGTGGGTAGATCTCATATGAATTTTGTTGTACTGTGCTTAAATATTTGAATCTTTATTCCTGTAAATGGTGCTTTTGCTTCATTTTCTAATTACTCATTGCTAGCTTACCAAAATAAAATTAACTTTTATATTGACCAGATTTCAAGTACCAAAATAAAATTTGTCTTTGTATGTTATTCCCATATTTATATACTCCTTTAATGTTTATGGCACATAACACATGCAAATAAAGACAATTTTATTTTTTCCTTTCCAATGTTTATATCTTGTATATAAACTTTTTCATGTCTGTTGCCTTAGCTACGAACTTTCATTTAAGGTTGAATAAAAAGTGATGGTACTGCACACGATTGTCTTATTCTCAAATTTGGGGTTAGGAGTGATGTCCTCATATTGTTATGTGTCATCTTAATTTTAGAAGTGATTATAAGTCTTACATGTAATTTCTGAGGGAAAGCATTGTTATCATTTAGTATGATGCTAGCCATGAATGAAGGGGACTGAAAATAATTTTCCCTGTGCCCTAAGTTCTTGGCTGGTGTCCTGTAACAAAAGACAAATGAACAAGAAAAAAATAGACCAAATTTGTGAGCATGTATATTTCATATATACCAAGGAGATACTCAACACATGCGTGGTTCTCACTGAGATGGCCTAGAACTCCAGCTTGTGTAGTATCTTCAACAAAGAACAATAATTTGTTAAAGAAATGACAAGACAAAAAAAACCTGGAATTTCTTGGGAAGGTAAATTGTGGGAAGAAAAATTTCTAGGAGCCTATGGTAGGTAAAGGCTGGTGGGTAGTTTGTTACGTTGATTTCTCTGCTGCCATCTCTGGGCTGTTAAGTGTCTCAGTTCATCTCTACCTGGTGATTAATGTTTGCCCTTCATGGTAGAGAGAGGAGGAGAGACACTCTCATAAATAGATGTGCTGCTTTTAGGAAAATAGGGAAAGGAAAGAGAAACTCTCTTATGTTGCTTTTCTCAGCTGCCTAATCTGCTCCCCTTCGTTGCTGTTTTTTCAAAGATTTAGGAGATTAAAGAAGTTTCTTCTTAGGCAAATTCTCCAAAAAGTATATAAATGTGAACTGAATGTAACCGACATTTTTGGAGCTACTGAGACAACTGCATGAGTTTCCTCTTATTTGCTTAATATGGGAAATTATATTGGTTGACTGTTTTTGATGTTGCTGTCTTTTTGAGACAGGGTCTCCCTATGCAGTTCAGGCTGGGCTTGAGCTCACTTTGTAGCCCAGGCTGGTCTTGAACTCACAACAATCCTCCTGCCTCAGCCTCCTGAATGCTGAGATTACAAGCCTGTACCACCACACCCAGCAACTTTTTCTTTTTTTTGACAAAGGGTCTCCCTGTGTAGGTCAGGCTGGCCTTGAACTCACAGTGATCCTCCTGCCTCAGCCTCCCAAATGTTGGGATTACAGGCATGTGCCACCACACCCAGATGGCTGACTTTTGAATTTTAACCAAACTTTCCATTTTTCCAGTAAATGCTATTTGGTCATGAT